TGGCTATTGTAAATAGTGCTGCATTGGGATGCATGCATCTTTTTGAATTACAGTTTTCATTTTTTCTGGATATATGCCCAGGAATGGGATTGCTGGATCATATGGTAGCTCTATTTTTAGTTTTTTAAGGAACCTTCATACTGTCTTCCATAGTGGCTGTATAAATTTACATTCCCACCAACAGTGTAGGAGGGCTCCCTTTTCTCCACACCCTCTCTAATTTATTATTTATAGACTTTCTGATAATAGACATCCTGACCAGTATGAAGTGATACCTCATTTTGGTTTTGATTTGCATTTCTCTATTAATTAGCAATACTGAGCATCTTTTCATGTGCCTGTTGGCCATCTCTATGTCTTTTTTGGAAGACCTGGGACTAACTTTTATGTTAATTTCTCCAACTGGGGATTCCCTGACTGGCTGTGCTGGCAGCATGAATTAAATCTAATTGAGATACAGTCCTGAGTGTTGGCTATTCATTCTTATGAAGAATGAATATTGGCTATTCTTATGAAGAGAAAGACAAGCCTCTGTGTTGTCTTTCTATGCCAACGGGTAGCATTTTTCTGGCCTATCTTTTCACTTCAGTGGTTCTCAGCTTTATACGAGGGTATCAGCGCTAACTTCCACTTCACAGGGACCCAAGACCTTGACTTTTTCCCTTTAAGAGCCTTAAAACCAATCTTCTACATTATAGAAGTGGGCACTTGTCTCATTACGTGAAGGACAGTGCCCAACCAGCTCATGACCTCACTGCTCTGCTTTTCCAATTCCTATTCATTCCTGACTTCTGAATATTTCCATTTTTTCCGTATGAGTTGTACAACTAACCCGGCATTTCTGGCTGTTTGTAGTAGGAAGATTTTCATATTATCTTGTTGGCCGTGTTTGCTGGAGTTCTAAGTGTGTAACCCCGGGTTTGTGTATTTAGTACCTAAAGGTTCCATGAGTCATCATTTCGAGCATTCTCTTCCAATATTCACAAATCCTTTGCCCTCTTTTCTTTCCTGGCAAAACTCCAATGCTTATATCTGGCCTTTGGATTTGGCTTTCTACTTATTCCAACTTATACCTGTACTGCTGAGCAAGCCTGCAGGAAAACCTGCAATGAAGAAAATTGATGCCACTCTGTATTCATAGTCCTGTTCTCTGCTAAAATCTGAACGTTCCCCAGCAAGCCTAGTTTCCCTGTGAGTCATCTCCCCCATTCCCCACAGCTATTTTAAAACCTTTCCGCTCTCCTCATCCCGCTGCCCCCCTTTACAGAAGTATTTTCAGAAGATAACCTTACTTCCTACTTCCGAGAGGAAATAGAGCCCATCAGAACAGAGCTTTCTCAAATTCCATCTGCCCAACTTATGAACTCATTTACACTGGCATACACCTCTTTTCTCCTTCTTCCTATTACGAGGAAGGAAGTTTCTTCTTCCTGTCTGAGTAATCATATAATTGACCACTGAAGCTGGGATATTTTTGAAAGTAAAAGAAGGACTCTATTAATAATTATTCCAGGACAACAGGTGTAAACCAGAACTGTCCTGGGCAAACTGGGACATGCGGTCACCCCCTATATAAAGTTTATTGCTGAATACATCTCTTTTGCCTTCCCAAGCACCACAGTCCTTTGAACATTCCACCTCTCTCCTGTATATTCAAATTTTCCTTCTCTCTGGGTTCCTTCTCGTTAATATTTTAACACTGTCCATGTTTTTTCTTAAACGTTTCAATCTTTTAAAAAGAGAAATCGTGCAAAACCACGCTTCCTATGTGCCAAAGATGCCTCCAACTACTGCTAACTTTTTTGACTCATCCCTTTTCTCTGCCAAATTTATCGAAAAAAATTGTCTGCCTACACTGTCTCTCTTTTTTTCAGTTCCTGTTCTCCTTCATTCACAGAATTCTGGCTTCTTCCCCATCCCCATTCTGACATCACTCTTGACAATGTCACACATGATTCTCTCGTTTTTTAATAGAGCAGACAGTATTCAGTGTTACCCCATTTCTTAGGTGCCTCTATCTGTGCAGCCTTGAGTGAATTAGTTATCCTCTGTGTTCCTCGGTTTCCTAAAATGGTACAATTATAGGCCGTTCCTCAGTGACTGTTAGTGAAAATTAAAATAAAATAATACGTGTAAAGCATTTAGGATTTTAAAATGTTAGCCATCCCGTTGCTCATCCTTTTCAAAAAACATCCATGTTTGGTCATGGTTGAGTTAGACGGTTCCATCACTAATTTTGCATGCCACTGTTTGAATCTTTTAAGGCAAGGCGTCAGGGTAGAATATCTTTACATTGCCATTCCAGAGACCCGGAGGCCTGAGGATGGCAATCTAGAAAGGGAGCTAGCTTTACTTCTGTGTCCAAGGGTGTTTCTTTCATGTTTGTTATGGCTGCTAGGATTTAGCAAACACACAGTACTAAATCCATAACCTGGCATGCTTAACCTCATTAGAAGCTCACAATGGCAGACAAACCATATCTTTCCCTGACATACCTATTTGCCCTCAATGTAGCCCCACATCAACAAGCACTTACAGGGCTCTCATTCTGATTTGCTCAAACTAATTTGCAGAGTTAACGATATAATACATAGCAAATGCGCATCTGTCCTAACTGACCATGGCCAGCTTCATCTTTAGCCCTCACCATTGCCAAGACAGCAGGCATTTGAAGGCACATTGGGATTCTTCCAGTGACTTTTTAGTTGCTTTTTCACCTGCTCTGAGTTGTTGGTTGAATTGGCCCTTCCTTTAAAATAGGTCATGTTTGCATTATATCTTGTGGACATGCCTCCACTATTTCTTTAGGTGGAAGTCAATTTTTCAGAGCTTCAATAGCCAAAGCAGATTTTCTGCAAAATTTATCTTCTAATAGTAATAATTATAGTTGATACCATTTATTAAATGCATATTATATACCAGCAGCTGTGCTAAGCATGTCACATATTTTCGTGTCTATTGACTAATAAGGATTAGAATGGAGTAGAAATAGACATGTGTGCTAAAATGAGCATCTTACCTACTGGTAGAGTAACTTTAAATGATATTATGAGCTCTCAGTACTAGCAAGTTTAATAAAATCTCTAGCATATATTAATTACTAACACAATGTACATGATCGTTTCAGTGTTTGGAAGAAAGGAGAGTGTTCAGTTTTACTGATAGGCATGATACAAAACTAAATGGCAAGGCAAGACCAAACTGTGTAATTGAACTCCAACTAATGAGATCTGTGATAATTTTCTCTAGGCCAAAGCTAAACCAAATGGTTTCAATATCTTTGAAGACAGTAACCTAAACAATCAGTATTTGATGTTATAATTCAGTGGGCTCATATTTCATACCTTGAAGAGGGAAATATTTATGATATTGTACACAAATGGATAACATTGGTTCTGTATCCCTCCAATTATAGTTCAAGGAAACACTGGATCTAGGCAGACATTCACTGTGTCTGAAAGTGGGACTGAGTGTGTTTGTATGTTTATTTAATTTTCACTCAATAAGTTACATCAGGTGGTTGTTGCATTCTGAGCTTGAAATAGCACTGATACTTTAAAAGATATTAAATTCTAGCAGCTGTGCGAAAAATATATTCTTTTTACATCTGACAACCACTATTCCCTCCAACCTCATTCCTTTCCATGAACAGTTAATTGAAATGAGATCATTAAAGCAGTGAGAAGAAGATCTATCTAGGAAATAAAGATAATCTTAAAGGAGCTAATAGAAAACTGTATGATTGAGAAGGAAGAAATGTAGGAAAGGCTCGATTTTGGCCTAAGAGAAGGGTGACATCAAAGTAAGCTATGGGGAAGCTGTGAAGTCTTCCCCAGCTGAACTATAATTTGTGCCAGTGTGTGATAATCACTTTATCAATCAGATAACAGAAAAGGAAGTGATAACTCTTATAGTCAACATTTACTGAGTTTTACAAAGCGTCAGACACTCTGCTAAATACTACCAGTAACTTATCTCATTGAATACTCACAACAAACCCCACTTTGCAGATAAGAAAACTGAGAGCCAGAGAGGTTAATTCTAAGACCTGTAACAGGAGGAGCTGGGAAGAGTTTTGTACTCAGTTTACTCACCTCGTATAGGCATGCTGGTAGTTTCTATTTTTAAGCAAAATATGTTATTATTTTAGGTCAAGAAGGAGCTGAGGACCAAATGGATAGAATCCCTAGCTCGACCTGGATTCTGATTTCTCAGTGAAGATATTTCACAACCAGTTGTTGGATTAATTGACTTTAAAGGAACACTTTAAAAAATGGAAAATATTTTGACAATGTAACTCATAGAAGTAGGACCATTGGGGGTTATACATTTTGAGCCAGTATTATATTTTTCTCAACTCTTTGTGACAATACAATTGGAAAGAAGTTACTTTTTTTTTTTTTTTTTTTTTTTTGCGGTACGCGGGCCTCTCACTGCCGTGGCCTCTCCCGCCGCGGAGCACAGGCTCTGGATGCGCAGGCTCAGCGGCCATGGCCCACGGGCCCAGCCGCTCCGCGGCACGTGGGATCCTCCCGGACCGGGGCATGAACCCGCGTCCCCTGCATCGGCAGGCGGACTCCCAACCACTGCGCCACCAGGGAAGCCCAGAAGTTACTTTTTTTCTTTTCTTTTTGATACATTTTTAAGACACGTCTTTTATGCCGAAAAAAGATAAAATGAATATCTTCAAATTTATAAACAAGGGAGAATTGTCCAAGCCAAGAAGACGTTCTGAAATGATATCCTATCGTTTTAGTATTATAGTGACTTTAGTCGGTTTTGGTTAATTGATGGTCTATAGATGGAATATGACCTGTTATACAAAGGAATGTTTTTTTTCTCGTTTCAAATTTTTGAGTGTTGACCTAACGGTCTAATATCTGGAATAAATGAGGGAAATGAACTACCTACTGCCTCTCTGTTTTGCAAGCTGAAATGCTTCACAGTAGAGCGTGAGGCCCTCCGCTAGCACTGTAATGGGAAGGAACGCAGCTCCTTACCCTCAACTTCCAGCTTCGCCAACTTGGAATATGCCGTCCCGAGGCTGTTTTTTGCCACACATCGATAATGTCCTGCATCTTCCTTTTGCACATTATGAATCCTTAAACTCCCGGATTCAAGAACCGCAGTGCGGGAGTTTTCCTGCCAGGGACAGGGACATGAATTAAAAATGGCCATAGGTCTGTCAAGGACACATTTGCTATATTTCATCTAGTCATCACTATCATTCTTATCAAAAATATTATTTTAACATTTATTTGGCATTTATTATGGGTAACATACAATAATAAATGAGATAGTATAAGATTACCAAAATTAATTTTAATAACAATGCCATAAGATATAGTTATTTTTATTTTCTTTCATTACATGAGGACCCCAAGGCTTATTGGATGTCCTACATCAACAAGCCTTATTTTAGGAGTTTCTTTGATATCTAAAAATGTCACATCCAGGTCTGTTTGATTAAAAGCATTGCTTTTAACAGCCATGCTTACTGCCTATATGGTATCCTTAGGGGAATATATGTCCTTTGAAAAGTTCGAAAATTCTACAGATAATACAAAAATTGGTCTTTATAGTTAAAATGTTACATCTATCTTCTCTCTGGGAACTCTAAATTCATATAGAGCCACCCCCTGCTTTTATTGTAGAAAATATAACAAAAGGAAAGCCAGAGAATTATATAGATTACCATAAAAAATGAAAATTATTTGTTTTATTTTAAATAAAACAAAGCTAATTGATATTATGTTTTATTTCAATTAATTGACATATATCAACACCTATGTATTCCCCATGGAATACTCTGAGTACAGTAATATGAAAAACATAATGTCTTTGACCTCACTGAGTTCACAGTTGGTAGTTTATACAAGGATGGAAAGAGACGATGGTGATGCAGTATAGTAATTTATCAATAAATGTAGGTATAAGATACAAAGCAGTACAAAATAAGCGTGTGAATACTGCATTTCAAGTTTGACTACTGTATGTGATTGAGGTTGTTGTCAAGGTGGTTTGTTCACCAGTCTTGATGCTCTAGCTTCACTCCAGAATGTTCTCATTCCTTTTCTTCCAAACCTTATTTCTCTCTCTCCTCCCAGAAACGATTTGTCAGGTCTAAAGCTTGGAGCTTAGTTCCATTTTTTAAATCTCATGAGTCTCAAAGATTCAATGTTGAAAAATAAATGATTCAAATACCAACCAACAAAAAAGACTGTGGCTTTGCTCTGCTTTGCCTCCTTTATCATCCTTAACACTACTGGTTCCTATGTCTTTTTTCCCCTACTCAGCCCCAACTGGAATGCCTTACAATTTGCATATATGGGAACAGAAATATTAAAGTTTGGTTAAATGTTGTACCTGGAAAAAAGTTTATACTAAGTTTATAAGTGTGCGACTGAGTTTGCAAAGGATTGTTGTATTTGACAATGTGTTGTATATACATGTTTTAACGTAACAATCACTTACCCTGAGAGCACTGTCCCCCTTGATCCACGACACTGATGGTTTCGGATTGCCCATTGTAGTACATGGTAGAACTGCCTTTAATCCTTCTATTATTTTTACGTTTATGGGAGGACGAGTTATTTTAGGTTCTAAAGGGAAATGAAGGTTAAAAATTAAAAAGCAATATGGCTTTATTAAACTTAGAGTTTCTAAGTTTGTTTAATTATAAATATACATTAAAAATATTCTTAGGCTTATTATAATACAGAATTCACCAAATGCTAAGACATGTTTTTAGTGGCTATCAAACAGAAATCATTTTTGAAAATTTAGGTTATCTCTGTTTTATCTTATTTGAAAAATCAGTTCATAAAACATATTAGGAGTTTATAATTATCATAGTATTCTGCACTTTTAAAATAGTTAATAAAAAGTTGATTAAAATAAACTGATAGGGGCTTCCCTGGTGGCGCAGTGGTTGAGAGTCTGCCTGCTGATGCAGGGGACACGGGTTCGTGCCCCGGTCCAGGAGAATCCCACATGCCGTGGAGCGGCTGGGCCCGTGAGCCATGGCCGCTGAGCCTGTGTGTCCAGAGCCTCTGCTCCACAGCAGGAGAGGCCACAACGGTGAGAGGCCCGTGTACCGCAAAAAAATAAAAATAAAAATAAAAATAAATAAACTGATAACAATTCAACATTACGTAATTCATAGCAACAGACATGAGAACATATGAAAGTAAAGTTTTGATATAAGTTTTATTTGTATAATTCTGAGTTATGACCTACTTTCCCTTTGGTTTCCATCTTAATTTGACTATTAAGTTTGATGATTAAAAATTAGATACATTTATCCTCTAGAAAATAAATCAAATGTTACTATACTTGTAATCAGAGAAATTCTGTAATACAATTCAGAGTAACCCTACTCTGCAAAGCCAACTTGTGTATCGTGTTCCGTGAAACACTCCTAAATTAATTTTTTCAGAAGAAATAGTTTATGTCAGTTAATTTTTATTCTCCAACATTGAGCTTTCAGAGGAAGATGTTATTAAATCTATTGCATAGAAGTACTGACAAGTTCAGGATACCAGTTATTTTACTATTTGAAACATTCATAAAATAATGAAAACTACATTTATTTCCTAAGGAATCTTATGTTACAGATACAAAGCAGAAGAAGACTGTCTTGGCAGGAGAGACTGCTGAGAAATAGATGCATTTAATTTTTTTCGGGTCATGTGCCATAATCAATTTGTTACTTGGACATAGAAGAGCAGGAAATAAGGATTTTTGCCCTTCTACTTCAATTGTGTGTGTGTGTTGGAGGGACATGGTTTGGTGGTGGTTATAAGTGATATTTGCAAAGACTGCATGGTCTATTGATTTTTTTTTTTTTTTTTTTTTTTTGCGGTACGCGGGCCTCTCACCGCTGCGGCCTCTCCCGTTGCAGAGCACAGGCTCCGGACGCGCAGGCTCAGTGGCCATGGCTCACAGGCCCAGCCGCTCCGCGGCACGTGGGATCCTCCCGGACCGGGGCACGAACCCGCCTCCCCTGCATCGGCAGGCGGACTCTCAACCACTGCGCCACCGGGGAAGCCCTGTCTATTGATTTTTAATCTAGCTATTTATTGCCATTTAGAGGTGGTATGACCCTGCAGTGTGGCAAAGATACAAGATAGGCTTTAAACATGTTATAGAAAAATATCAACGTTGTCACTTTGTCTGCGATCTAAAGCAGACAATGCTCATTCTCATCAATGACAGTGAATACCTATGTTTAGACAATGACTAGGCACCTCAATTGTGAGTTGAGTTGTCATACAGCTATTGGCAAAAGTTTAGCTTACGAGTTGATACATCTGTGATATAGTCAAAGAGAGTATTATTCATTCCTTCCATTGGGCTCCCTGAACTGATCCCTATGGCAAACCTGAGTCACAGATAATGTCTTAGGCAGAAAACCTTCGCTTAAAGCAAATAACTCCTGTCTTCTCAATGAAATAGATGTCTTTGTCATCTGTTGGTGAGAGGTCAGGAGAACCTTTGCGGGCAATTGAGTATAAAGAAAACTAGGAATGAACTGAGTATTGACGTGGAGTCATGGATTCCCCACCCTAAGGGAGCATGATTCAGGTGGAGCCATGAGCACTGACTAATCAGAACTGGTCATCCTGTTGAAGTGGGATGCTGGAAGTGTCCTGCTACGCCAAGACTGAACCCTTAGTTGTTGGACCATAAGGAATCTGGGGGAGGGAACTCCCGAAGGAGGTCTGAGGGTAGTTGGAGTAGCGATGGGGGTGGGGACCTCGAGGGTCTCAGGAAACAGCTCTTTAGCAAGCAGTGTGGAAGCCTCCCAAAATTTTAACAGTTGGGATGGCCACACTAGTGTATAGCCACCTGAATGGGTGAGCTTTCCTAAGGAGAGAGTGGAGAAAAGAAGAGGAGAGAAGAAAAAAAGAGGATTTAGGATAGAACCAAAATCAAGAACATTTAGTGCCAGAAAAATATAAGCAGTATTCAAAGGAAAAGTAGTACCACAAAGTAGTGAAGTACTTAAATGTACTCTGTCTTTGGAATCACACCTTCACTCTTCAGCAAAAGAGAACATCCCAACTTCCTTACCTGGTGTTCTTACTGCCCCACATGCTGAAAGAAAGCCTGCTTGTGGGTACCTCCCAAGCTCTTTACCCTCAGAACCCCCAGATCAGCTTCCCCACGATGTCCCACTAGCCTCACTACATACCTATTATAGTTAATCTCGGACAGCATTTATAGGTGTGATCCAACATAAAAGATTAACAGACATGTGAGAACAACCATGAACATGAAGAAAGAGAATCAGAATAAAATAAAAACTTAGCCTGAAGAAAACAGAAATAAAGCAGGTGAAAGAAGAAAATGCTTTAAAAAAATGCATTAATAGTATCCTTAGATGAGTGAATGTTGCATCATACACATAAAGCTGGCTATGAAGAAAAGGAGCAGTCAGGGAAAAAATAATACCTAGAATTTAAAAATACAGGTTTTTAAGATCAAAGTACAGAATATAAGGTCAGAACAGCAGAATGGTCATACTGAAGACCAAATTCATGATATAGAAGGAAAAGCCAAATAAATCTCCTAAAAGTAGCATATCAAGATAGATATGTAGGAAATATGAGGAGAAACAATTGGAGTACAAAATAAAGACTTTCAGCCACACAAACGCTCAGGAAATACATCTCACGTGCTCACACTGAAAAGAAGCAACAAACCACTTCCTCCAGCAAAACAATAACAATAAAACTGAAAGATAAAAGATGTAAGAAATAGTGATAAAATCCACAACAAAAACTCATAATAAACGTTCCGGGTGGAACTGGATTCCACCGTGCTTTGTATGGTGCCAATATGCATGTTTCTGTGATTTTTCCCATCAGTACTGTGATGTCAGAGAGGAGAAAATAAAGGTTACTTCATTACAAGGTTAAGAGTTTGCAAGCAGCAGGTGCTATAGCACAGGGGATCATGAGATTTGAGGATGCTGGTAAGGGCTGCGAGATGATGCCACACTAGGTAAGACAGAGAACAAAGTGAAGAGAGAATTGGATGAAGTGCCCATTGGGGGTCGACATGACCATGATGGTGATCGTATGGAATGGGAGGAAGGGTGTGAGAGAGTTAGACTCTGTGCTGAGCTGAGAAGGAGACAGATGGAGTTGGTGCCTTCTGTTTGGAGGCAAATCATGAGTGTGGGAAGCTAGGTTCCTCATCGGACAGAGCTGGAAATAGAAATGTCCATGTTCAGGATGTGACCTACTGGGGTTTAAGATTTGAAATACAGTCCATTTCCTGGGGGTGACAAGGTCATAGATTGGGTAGACTGATAAAGAGTTAAGGCAAACATCACTGGACTTGTGAAGGTCAACGAGCTATAGGATGAAGTGGACAGTGGCTCTGAATCATGGCTGTTGAAATCGCTTAGGATAATGGCAGGAGTAGGAATGGATAGAAATTTAATAAATCTGGAATCAAAATCTTTGAGAAATATGGGAGAGGACCTAGAAGTGAGTAGCTGACTTGATGAATAGAGTTAGAGAGAATGTCAAAATGGCAAAAGCCCTCATGAGAGGGAAGGTTTTGCCCAGGAATACAAAATATAATGGCTTAAAAGCCACAGTGAAACATCAGTACATGCTAACCTTGTTGACATGAAGTGGGGACGAAATAGCCTCCCTTTAAGCAGAAAAGTCACTCAAGTTTGAAAAGTCGCTCAAGAAAATCAAGTTTGAAACAAGGCAAAAGGGTAGAAGAAGTGTCTGCAAAGAGGTTTTAGATTAAAAGGGTGTTTGGTTGTCATGAAACTGTTTTGAAGGTATGGAGTAAAGATTCTAAAGGGAAGCTCCTGGTGAAAGATGTCAGGGTGGCGCAAATAAAGAGACATATAAAGGCATGAAAATGGGAGACGGTAGAGAACAATGAGGCTTGCCTGTAGGATGGTGGTTGATGGCAGGAATAAGAGGTGTGGGACTGTCTCAAGGTTGTGATTTGAACTTGAACTTGTCTGGCTGCCTGAACATACAGGTATGCGGGAGGCTCTATTTACTACCTGCTTCAAAATGTACCAAGTCAGCTTTGAAATCAATGGATGATTCTCTTTCCTACTCACTCATCTTCACTTGCAGAGCTCCACAGCTCTCGGCAGCTCCTCCCACGCCATTGTTGGCTATGCAGCAGTAAATGCCGTCATCGCTGTCTTCCACGCTCAGGATGGTGAAGAGCTGACCGTTCTCCCGAATGCTGTACCGGGTGTCAAAGAGCCTGTGGGTCGCAGAGCATTATGGCAGGTTAGGGCCCCATCTGTGATGTTTTGGCTATGATTAAATGATCACACAGGTGGCTTACCAATGGAGGAAGTAGACTAAATGTAAGAGGAAATTCGATTGAGTTCTGAATAACAGAATAAGCTTATTTGGGAATTGAAAGCTAACATTATATTCTAATCTTTCCTAGGCTCCAATAATCAGAGCAGTGTTGAGTCCTTCAAAAATAACTTCAAAAGGTGATGTCTGTTGATGAGACCAAACATAAAATTATTTATTTAGGGAAGTGTATATCATTACCCAAGATATGAGTTCTGCCCCATATTTACTGGGAAGTAGCAGCTAGATAATGAAAACACACACACACACACACACATAAGTGCGACTAGCAGAAAGGGATAAACAGTTACTCACTACTGTATATAAAACAGATAAACAGCAAGGACCTGCTGTATAGCACAGGGAAATATATTCAATATCTTGTAATAACCTATAAGGGAAAAGAATCTGAAAAAGAGCATGTGTGTGTATGTGTGTGTGTGTGTGTGTGTGTGTATGTATATATGAACCGAATCTCTTTGCTATACACCTGAAACTAATACATTGTAAATCAACTATACCTCAATTTTAAAAAATGGAAAAAAAAGAAAGAGTTAAATATTTATAGAAGTAACTACCACTTAACTATTTGTTCATTCATTAATCAAATGTTTGTTGAGTGCCTAACAAGTGCCAGGCACAGTTCTAGTTCCCTGGGATACATAAGGAAGCAAAAAAGGTTCAAACTGTAGAAATACAGGTTTTACATATATTATCTCACTAAATGACGTGCAGCGTGAATGTTGAGAAGGGAATTAGGACAAAAGAAAGAAATTTGAGAGGAAGCGTCAACCTAAAAGTGAGTTTTATGACCAAATATCCTTTACGCTAAATCCGTATATTAGGCAGAGTAAAGCACCCCACCCCCAGCAAAGATCCATGTCTGAATCCCCAGAACCTGTGAATATGTTACCTTACATGGCAAAAGGGATTTTGCAGATGTCAAGGATCTTAAAATAGAGTATCCTGGATTATCCAGAGGGACCCAATGTAATCATTAGGGTCCTTAAAAGATGGAAGAGGGAAGCAGGAGGATCAGAGGATGAGCGGTGACAGTGGAGGCAGAGTATGGAGTGACACAGCTGCTGGCTTTGAAAATGCAGGAAGGGGCCAAGAAGCACAGGCAGCTCCAAGAAGCTAGGGAAGGCAAGAAATCAGACTTTCCTCTGGAGCCTCCAGAAAGCATGCAGCCCCGCCAACACCTGGATTTTCGCCCAAAGAGCCCTATTTCAGACTTCTGAACTCCGAAACTGGGAGATAATAAATTTGTGTTGTTTCAAGCCACGAAGTGTGCGGTAATTTGTTACAGTAGAAATGGGAAAAACTAACACGACATGAAAACAAAACCTGTAAAGGGAATGGAATTTTGACTTTTATAATTCAATGGGTGGCTCCCATCACACACTGATCTTAAAGAGGAAAAAAGGGATAGAGTAATTTTTGGTCTAATGTGACTAAGGATAATATAATCACTGGGTAGTTCATTAAATCACATCAAATAACTGAGGGTAGCCATGATAGTCACTCTCATGTAATTTTTGCTTTGTTTTTTGCTAAGTATAAGTTTTCATGGAAAATATGAATATTGGAATATCTTACAGATGTGCTTGTGGACCAAGAGTCCAGCCACTCTGTGAAATATAAACTTCCAAGATTTATAATCTGTTGTATCACTGCTGCTTAATTCAAGTACATAAATTGCTTTTAGATTGTGAGGGACACAAGTATTTATAATTTTCAAAATATAAATTGTTCTTTTTTATCGAAGTATACTTGATTTACAATATTATATTAGTTTCAGGTGTACATAGCATAGTGATTCAGTATTTTTACAGATTATACTCCATTAAAAGTTATTACAAGATAATGGCTATGATTCCCTGTGCTGTACAATATATCCTTGTTGCTCATCTATTTTCTACATAATAGTATGTATCTCTTAATCCCATATGCCTAATTTGCCCCTCCCCCATCCCTCTCCCCTTTGGTAACCACTAGTTTGTTTTCTATGTGAATCTGTTTCTGTTTTGCATATACATTCGTTTGTATTACTTTTTAGATTCCATATGTAGGTGGTATCATACAGTATTTGTTGTTCCCCATCTGACTTATTTCACTAAGCATAATATTCTCTAAGTCCATACATGCTGCTGCCAATGGCAGAATTGCATTCTTTTTATGGCTAAGATTCCATTCTAAATATATACCACATCTTCTTTACCCATTCATCTGTTACGGACATATGGGTTGCTTCCATATCTTGGCTACTGTAAATACTACTGCTATGAATTTGGGGTGCATATATCTTTTCAAATTAGTGTTGTCATTTTTTCTGGATATATACCCCAGAGTGGAATTGCTGGATCATATAATACTTTATTTTTAGCTTTTTGAGGAGCCTCCATACTGTTTTACATAGAGGCCACACCACTTACATTCCCACCAGTAGTGTACAAGGGTTTCATTTTCTGCACATCCTCTTGAACATTTGTTATTTGTAAACTTATGATAGCTGACTGGTGTGAGGTGATATCTTACTGTTGTTTTTTCTAATAATTAGTGATGTTGAGCATCTTTTTGTGTGCCTGTTGGCCATCTGTATGTCTTCTTTGGAAGGATGTCTATTCAGGCCTTTTGCCCATTTTTTGATTGGGTTGTTTGGGTTTTTTTTGATACTGAGTTGTATGAGCTGTTTATATATTTTGGATATTAGCCCCTTACGGTCATATCATTCGCAAATATCTTCTCCCATTCTGTAGCTTGTCTTTTTGTTTCGTTGGTGTTTTCCCTTGCTGTGCAAAAGCTTTCAAGTTTAATTAGGTCCTACTTGTTTATTTTTGCTTTTATTTCTTTTGCCTTAGGAGACAGATTCAAAAACATATTGCTATGATTTATGTCAAAGAGAAATTTTTCAGAACTGTTTTAGATTTATAGAAAAATTGGAAAGGTAGTATAGAGAATTCACATATACCCCCTACATCCAGTTTCCCACATCTTAGGTAAGTATGGTACATTTGTTACAGGTAATGAATCACCATTGATACATTATTAATTAAAGTCATAGTTTATTCAGATTTGTTTTGTTTTTACCTAATGTCTTTTTCTGTTGCATAATCTCTTCCAGGATACTACATTTAATTTATTTGTCTCGTTTCCTTAGGCTCCTTCTAGCTTTGACATTTTCTATGACTTTCCTTGCTTTTGATGACTTGACAGTTTTGAAGAGTACTGATCAAATATTTTGTAGGATGCTCCTCTATTGGAATTTGTCATATGCTTTTATCATGATTAAATTGGGTTTATGGCTTTTGGGAGGAAGAACACAGGTAGAGTGCCATTTCATCACATCGTAACAAGGGTACTACTATCAATATAATTTCTCACTATTGATATTGACCTTTATCACCTGGCTGAGGTAGTGCTTGTCAAGTATCTCCTGTGTAAAGTTATTCATTATTCCTCAAGAAGCACTCAATTGTATTTTCAAAACATAATTTCTTCCTATTTCACATATCCTTTGACTAACAACTCTCTGAACCTGTTGCTCCATTTATTTCTTATTTATTTGTAACATATTTTTTGCCATACAATAAAGGGAAGATTTAAATTTATTAAAAGTAATTTTATTCATAGTATTATAAGCCAAGTTAGAATATTTATGGTTTCCTGAACCAGACTTATAATGTTGATTTTCTTTGCATGATTTGAAAAAAACTCATTGGTTGTCTATTTCTTCATCTACTTACAATATTGGTAGATAAACACATGAGAGGATTATAGGGCAATATTTTTCAAAGCTATTTGACAATGTAGGCAACAAACTTCCTTCTTGGACAAGTTAAAAGACGATGATGGGGAGAGTAGTCTTTGAATATTGACTTTTGAATACTGAATGCTATCTAACAACTATTATAATTTCAAAGTAGAGAAGAATATAAATAATATCTCAGTGTATAAGCAACAATAATATATTACATCATGTTGTAATATAAAACTATTTATAACTTCTACCGTAATAGTGTCACAGGTACTTTATTACCACTGTTATTCATGATGTATATTAAATGACGTTTTCCTATATTGTTTAGGAAGTCAATTTTATTATAGAAGACAAAGACATAAGATGGATAAAACTCATAAAAAGTGTTAAGCATATAAATTGTAAAGCTAGTAACTTATGAGATATTGGTAAAATGACTTGTAAGTAGAGATAAAAAGTAAGCTACTGACTTAGGAAATATAGGCAGAATTGATAAATTGTGTTGAATATAGGTAGTAAATAAAATTGCAACCTACTAAACATAGATGGAATAAATTAAAAATATGATGGAACAAAGAAGAGCATTATTTATGGTAGGAAGAGATGGAAAGACAAGTTCATAATTCTGCCACCTCTAGACTGACAACTTTGTCACCTTGAAAACAACCACCCACTGGTGATATGCAGTATGGCCCCATTATGGTCCCATGAGCTGTATCCAGGAAACACAGTTAAAATCCATGGCTGTTGAGCAGGCTAATTGGCAAGCTCCGGCCAGGTATATTTATCCCTGCATCCCTCCAACAGGGCAAATATATATCATTGGCTTCAGGAACCCCCCACCTGTGGGCCCTTGCTCAACCTCAACTCTGTTTCTTGTAAGAACACCACAGTGGGGACATCTGAGGCACAGGGAGGAGAGACTGGACATATAAACATTAAGTAAACCAAGATTCCTAAGTATATTAACTTGCCCTATTTCTTTCCCCTTCTTTCTATATATGTATTTTATTAACATCTTTATTGGAGTAAAATTGCATTCCAATGTTTTGTTAGTTTCTGCTGTATAACAAAGTGAATCAGCTATATGTATACATATATCCCCATATCCCCTCCCTATTGTATCTCCCTCCCACCCT